AGGTACACCTATTTCGCATTTGCTTTTGATTGAAAACTAATCATAAACACTACAGCTACGGGCTACGACTTACTTAAATTAGTATTAGTAATATTATTATAGTAACCTATGAAGCTCTTTTTTTCGCAATCGAATCTCTTAACTAGTTTTATAATTAATTACCAAAAATGATGGTAGTATTACAAGAATAAATTATAATATGTAAATGATTTTAAATATAATATAACTTGTTTATACTTATTATATTATGTTACGTGTGAAGCGTCTTAATTTTTCAATGATCACTTTTTTCTTAATGTAACATTAGGGTGAATCTGTATATTATGTACAAATTCAATACAAAATTAATAAAATTATTAAATTTAGTTCTACACTAATATAAATGTAAAAATAATGATTCATTTTTCCAATACTTACTTATGAAGTCTATTTTATTATTTGTCTGTTAAACAATTTATTAACTTCAAAATGTATTGTATTACACTCTGTTTTCTCTTTAATATTCTCTGAGATTTAATCATTAGCTCGTAATAAAAATGATCAAAATAAAGTTTAAATGTATTATTTTTTTTTAACACAAGAGCAATGAATTAAAATTTTGATTACCTACATTTTTATGATAGAATTTTCTTTAAAAATAGATATTTTTGTAAAATAAAAAAATTTAATAAAATTCTTTTGTTAAATTTTCTTGGGTTTTCTTAAGGAATGATTCGATCTACTATTATAGTCTGGTTTTTTGTAAATGTTCGTTCAACAGTAAATTCATGGTTCAAAGAGTTATTGAAAGTTTCTATTGCTGTACTGGTACATTTGAACAATGTGAATTATTTTTTAAAACATATTATATTATTAAAGCTATATATGCTACATATGTCTGCTAAAGTCTTGGATTCTAAAGTTAAAGACGCTTCAGTAAAGAAATATCATAGTTTCGCTTTCTATTTTCTTCAAACAAGTTCATCATAATTATTAATAAGAGGAAGCAATGCTATAAGTCAATTCTATGGCGGTAAACAATAATGTAAACGTTTTCAAACATTGCCAACGCCATGACCTAGCGTTTTGTCTGTTCAGTTCCATTAAACAATACCTACCCTGGTTCAATAATATTAATTATTTGTATGATTCATATATTCTGTGATATTATAATCTGTGTTATAACTGACTTATATCACGGAGTACCAACGGTATAATTATTTATGACTTATACCAAGGTTGATTTACATACCGCACCAAGCGCTTAAGTGTTTCAACCTTTCTATATCGGTACGGTTATTTGACTATCGTAATCGGTTATTTTAAAGATTTTAACGGGCACCTGTTTAATATCGGCTATTATCTTATCAAAATATAAAATATCTATTATAATGGTAATATATAACCATATAAAACATAAGCCGTTTTAAAGCTTTGGTTACAAATTACAATGTGATAAAATAGTTTATCGGAATATAACACATCTGATAGTGCAAACTATAGATTCAATTACAACCTTCTTATAATATTACCGTATAAATTAAATAACTAACGATATTGTTACGGGAGTGCTTAACCGGTGTTGGCCAAAAACTCTCAATTGTCGATATTTATCTCACTATCCATTTTGCGAACATTAGTATAACAAACATCAGTTTGTATCAACACCAGGATTCTCAAATTATAAGCTCTTTTAAATTGCATAAGGTTGTAGTTAAATAAGTATTTATTATCCTTACCTTAAACTCTATATAAGTAATAAACAATACGTCCAATATTTGATGTACAAAGAATCAAATAATGAAATGGACCTTAATTTCAAATTAAAAAGTAGGTATTTATATTTTTATTTTGAAATGCCCAAGGGTTATTGTTATTTATTTTTAAATATAAACGGACGTAAGTCCTTAACAATATTTTGTGCGTATACACGGTAATAATAATACAATAATGTTATAGTAATGACAAATAACAATTTAAGATACATTATACAGTTTAAGTTACAAATATAGACAAGAGAACGAAAAAGGTAAATCAACAAAGAAAGATACAGGGCGAGACATGCTAAGCAAAATCAAAGGTAATTTAATTACCCGCAGCCATTAGGATATTAGAAGGACAGTTTATCATATAAATTGTTTTATATGGGACGGGATAGAATAAATCACTGCATCTTGTGTTACGGTGATTTACTTTAAAACGGATGAGAGAAATAAGGAGTTCATCACAATCGATATTCCCTAAAAGAAAATTGTGTAAAAATTTGGATAGTAATAAAGTGCGTCTAGTTTTGAGTTAAAGGAGATTGATAAATGATAATACTGAATCATAGGAACCATGAGGTGGCCAATAAATATTAAACTTGAAGGAGATGAAACGGAGGAAGTTATTTTGAGCTTATTCGATCGCAACAATCTGTTTAGAATTGTTATTAGTCAAAATAAATGGACAGTATTCTAGGTTTGAGTGAACAAGGGCACAGAATAAAACATTTAGAGATAGCGGATCTCTGAATGATTTATAAGTTCTTTTGATAAAACCCAGGTTGCGCATTGCCTTGTTTTTTATCATTTCAATATGGGCTGAAAAATTTAGTTTAGAATCGAAAATGACACCTAGGTCTTTAATGTTTGTTAATAATTCAATATCAGTCCCGGAAATATAATAATTATAATCGATGACATTTTTGCTTAGGCTAAATCGCATAAATTTGCATTTGTCAATGTTTAATAACAGGCGATTAGGCCAGGATTGAATGTTATCAATATCGTTTTGTAAGTCAAGCGCATCACCTTGATTGTTAATTATTTTTACCAGTTTAAGGTCATCTTCAAAAAGAAAAACACGAGAATTTTTTATGACATCCGGAATGTAGTTTATAAAAATATTAAAAAGTAGAGTAGAGAGGTGATCTCCTTGCTGGACTCCAGATGGTACATTAAATTGATCTGATTCAAAGTTTAAATGTTTAACAACGATATTACGGTTTGAGAGAAAAGAGTAAGACCATGAAAGTAGAGGGTTGAGAACATAAACAGTTTTAATTTCATAAATAATATTTCATGTTTTATGCTATCAAATTCTTTAGACATATCAGTGTAAATGATATAGGTTTGAGGAATAGGTTTCGAAAGAGTCAAGTATTATTTGTTTAGTAATAGCTAGATTAAAATTAGTTGATCGCTTACGTCTAAAACCAATAGTTTTATCGAAATTAGTTTTGAAAAAAGTTTAGGAATCACCTTTTTTAAATAAAAGAGTTTTTCATAGGTCGGGGAATATACCATTTTGGAGCGATAAGTTAAAAATATAGATTAAAGTTGGAGTTAGTATAAATCTACAATTGTATAGGAAAAATGCTGGAATGTTATCGGGATAGACGTTAAAATTGATAATGAATTGATAGCTCGTTTATAACATCGACCTCTGTAAGCGATATAGACTAAAAAGAAAATTAATGATTACTATATATAGTATTTTATTGTCAGATTTGGCTCACCTTTTGATATTCAAACACTTAACTGGTTGCGTAGATCAAAAAGAAATTCTCAGAAGTAAAATTTTGATCAGATTTCAGGTTACGTGATAACTCGAGAATTTTGAATACTTCTGAGGCTACTTGCAGTTCAATTATCAGTGGACGAGACTTGTTATTAGGTTTGCTTAGACGACTAATTTTTATTGGTTTAATGTCTGTTTCTATTTTATTAAAAATGCACATTAAAAACGATAATATTTTTAGAACGATTTTGACCGTCGATAAATTCAGCAAACATGTCATGATTATCGTTGGACTATGGATCAGCTGATTCCAACAAGTCGACACGGTTTTTGATAGCAGTCAAATCATTACGAAGCACACTATTTTCATTTTTGATACTTGGTAATAAATTGAGATAATTAACAGGTCTGTGTGACTGTACCTATATTTTGTTGTCAAATAACCGAAAACGTGCATTCTATTACATAATACGTCTTAATACCATAATAGGTTTTGCAGTTTATATTGCTCTAAAACAACATCGGAATACGGGTGAAGTCGATAAAATCAATGTTGGTTTATAATAATATATACCTAGAATATATTATCTAGATAATCTCAACACTGCTTACGAGTCCTGGTTAAGGTGATGATATAATATTATGTATGTTATTGATACAAAAATTAACCAAAATTACGTTTTCAAATTGTAATATTATTGTAAGTTTTTATTTTTAATAATTTAATGATACACATGGGTGATATTACAATATCAATAATTGACATTAAATATTTTATCGACACAAAAATTTCAATAGTGGTATCAAAAAATAATTAAAAAATAAATAGTATTATTGTTTTTTCCGATAAATAATTAATACGCATCGTTAAAACTGTGACCTATTATAGCTACTATTGCGAATACTTGATCGAATTTGATATCTCATTAATTGTGTAATGTCATTTTACGACCAACAGGTGTATAGGTTATTAGTTAAGTATTTATGCAAAAACTATTAACATAAAAATCGTCTACTGTAAACTGTCGTACATTATTTTTTTATTTATTGACTATTATAAGTTTTTACATAATAAAATGCCTAATTGAAATAATCGAATTTAGCTGTACATTGATATTGAGGCATTAGGCTACCTACCCTTATTTTTCAATTATTGCTATTATTGCGAATACGTTATTGAATTTAACATCTCATTAATTGCATTTTATCATTTACGAGTTTATGACTATCAGGTGTACTTATTTGTGTAGAAACTGCTAACATAAAAATACGCATATATTTGTCAACAATTATTTTTTTTAATTGACTATTACAATTATTCATATAATAAAATGCGTAATTGAATATAATCGTAATAGAATCTAATACAGATACATTAATATGGATGAATATATACGGTAGAACTGGTCTCATTGAGTTTAGTAACAACCTATACTGTTGTGCAGTTATCTCTGTAGTCCATATAGGTACCTACTGTTGTTCCGTTGAATATATTTTTTACGTTTATTAATTACGACATCATGGCTAAGATTTTGTTTTTGGCTTCCATAATGCTGCTGAGTTTTTACTTAACAGAACAAACAATAATATCAGACGTAGGAACTATTATGCTGGAGGTAAGTAAACATTATGTAATATTTAAAATTATTTGTATATATCTATAATACATTAACACCTGTGATATTTAATACTGATTAGGTACTAACTAATACTATAAATTGGTATACCAACGACACTGCTGGGTTTAGACTTTAGACTTAGGTAACATTCTAAAAACTTGTGCCGTAGATAGGTACTGAATGTTATGACAGCATTGCAAAATTTAATACCGCCACTTCGTTGTATTTAATTTTTTATAAATTGTAATTATACCCCGTCATGGCGTAATTTGTAGGTAGTTGGTCGATGACTTTTGTACAAATGTATTTATTATTACATGTTCCGATACGAACCTATTGAAATATAGTACAAAACATATTGTTGTTAACAATAATTAGAGGTATAAATATTATGTATGTACCTATAAAATAAATATAAATGTTCTACCTATAAAAATTAATTTAATTGAATAACAAAAATACGGATATTGAATAATGCTATTTTATTTTGTATACAACTCATGCAATATTCACGTTTGAGGGCACTCCATATTTTCTTAAAAAAATACAAAAAAAAAAACACATATTGGACATAAAAATAAATAAGTAGTATGTTATGCATTATTTAAGAACTACAATATAAGTTTTATATATGGCATATTATATTACACTACCTACTTACAAATTAGTAATTATAATAGAATATGTTAGCAATATAATGAACCTGTGTTCTGTATTATTTGACTTACATATCATATAACTTATGTAATAATCAATAAAAGAATAATACAAAATCTTATAAAATACTTGAGATCAAATAATATGTATAATAATAATTAATATTTAATATACTTTAAATAATAATATAAATAGTATAGGTACCTAGGTCCTTGAAGAACTTGTGTTAAATCATATTATACCTATTTCCAAGATATCATATTATCGAATTCCATACGCTGTCACTCAGCTGTAGGTACAGTAAATTGTATAAGTGTCATTGTCAATTTGTCATTGTAATCGTAATGGAGCTCCATTTCGACAGCATGTACATTTTCGATTTTTCCGATTTTGATACATACGTTATTTTGCGGATAATTTGCGTAATTTTGCGGACTTATTTTCAATTTTTGCGGACAAATAGTTTTTTAGTAAAACTAAAAAAACTGTTGACATGCTGGTGAAATGGTTCAAAAAATTAAAAAATTAACTTTCTCTAATTTTTATTATGCCATCATTTTGCGGATAAATCGCGCAATTTTGCGGACTAATTTTCAATTTTTGCGGACAAATAGTTTTTTAGCAAACTAAAAAAATCATTTCAAAAATTTAAAAAACCACTTACTTCACTTTTTAGTAGATCACCATTTTGCGGATAAATCGCGCAATTTTGCGGACTAATTTTCATTTTTTGCAGACAAATAGTTTTTTAGCAAACTAAAAAAATCATTTCAAAAATTTAAAAAACCACTTACTCCACTTTTTATTATACCACAATTTTGCGGATAAATCGCGCAATTTTGCGGACTAATTTTCAATTTTTGCGGACAAATAGTTTTTTAGTAAAACTAAAAAAATTGTTGACATGCTGGTGAAATGGTTCAAAAAATTAAAAAATTAACTTTATCTAATTTTTATTATGCCATCATTTTGCGGATAAATCGCGCAATTTTGCGGACTAATTTTCAACTTTTGCGGACAAATAGTTTTTTAGCAAACTAAAAAAATCATTTCAAAAATTTAAAAAACCACTTACTCCACTTTTTAGTATACCACAATTTTGCGGATAAATCGCGCAATTTTGCGGACTAATTTTCAATTTTTGCGGACAAATAGTTTTTTAGTAAAACTAAAAAAACTGTTGACATGCTGGTGAAATGGTTCAAAAAATTAAAAAATTAACTTTCTCTAATTTTTATTATGCCATCATTTTGCGGATAAATCGCGCAATTTTGCGGACTAATTTTCATTTTTTGCGGACAAATATTTTTACAGCAAACTAAAAAAAAAATCGTTGCAAAAAATTAAAAAACCACTTACTTCACTTTTTAGTAGATCACCATTTGGCGGATAAATCGCGCAATTTTGCGGACTAATTTTGATTTTTTGCGGACAAATATTTTTACAGCAAACTAAAAAAAAAATCGTTGCAAAAAATTAAAAAACCACTTACTTCACTTTTTAGTAGATCACCATTTGGCGGATAAATCGCGCAATTTTGCGGACTAATTTTCATTTTCATTCAAAATAATAAATTTTTATTTTATATCACCAAAGAATACGTTGTCTAATGTACGTCACTACACTAAGAGTGCTTGCTTAAAAATGACACTATTATGCAATTTATAAGAATGTAAATTAATTAAAAACGAAACCTAAAAATAAAGTCTAAATGGGATAAATGTAATGACTATACAAAAATAAACACAGCCAATGCAAATAATGACCTAACCCCTGTGTGTTTTAATGTCTAGGATTTATTAAAATATTAGCAGGTTTTACCCAGGCTGTCTGGCACTTTTCGTATATAGTATTCAAAACAAAATATGAAATAGCATGTTTGGAAAATGACTACAAAAATAAAATAAAATCAATTATTACTAAAACAACAAAATATATATTTAAATAATGTCATAGACATTATTACATGATATGAATAATAATAACAACTATCTATAGGATCTTCACGGCAGATAGCATACGGCAATTCGTAACAATTCCACCGCTCGGAAGCAAGTCCGTTACCCCAGCACTGCCAAGTTTGAAACTGACTATCAAAATTATCCAGTATTATATACTTTATTTTGTACAGTTATGTACAACCAAAATTGTACAAAATAAAGTACATAATATTGTATAATTTAGATAGAAACTGAATATCTAAAAAACTGAATATCTAAAACTTGGCAGTGCTGGGGTAACGGTGCTCGCGGAAGCCGATGCGTGTATACAGCGTGCGCCGTGCAGTGCCGGATCAGAGAATGAAAAATTCCACGTTTGTGCCCTCACGAATTCTGACGCGTATTCACTTAATATTATATTACATTTTTTTATAGTTAATAAAATTATTATTGAGTTGAATAGATCCGTTTTTATATTGTATATTTAAACTTAACTTTTGTTATATTAATTAAATATATAACAATTTTACAATAAATTTAAAAAAAATATAGACAAACATTTATTGTCAAATGATTTACTCTGAGTTTAAGCTGAACACGTGTCACCTGTAATTGTTAAAACGTGTGATCTTTGTGAAATTGTTCTTCATCCAGAAACTGGTAAGAGAACTGAGAAGACAAACATTTTCCAACATTTTCCAACATTCTTCTTCATATTTTATAACATGGACAAGAAAGCTTTTATACATGCCTGGTGTAACCCGTGACCTTATGAACTCTACAACTTTAATATTTGAAAATGTTCTATTTTTATAATGGGTAATTTTAATTTAAAAAATAAGGCTATCCCAGTATATTAAACAAGATTTAAAATGGAATTAAAATAATAAAAGGTTACAACAGCAATTTCTTTATTTTATAATTAATAAGTATTACTAACGCATATAACGACAAAACAGATACACATTGAAACAAACTGCATAAATTATTATGCAGGTTTTGATAGTCATTATAATAATAACATAATAACTTGTAAAAATGAATATTAAAAATGAAGTAACTTATCGGTTTATAAACATTTTTTAAATTTTTTTTTGATTTGTAGGTATATAACATAATTTTAATATGGTAAATTGAAATATTTATTAAATAAAAATTAGCCTGCATAATAAAAATTAGAGAAGGTTAATTTTTTAATTTTTTGATCCATTTCACCAGCATGTCAACAGTTTTTTTTGATTTGCTAAAAAAATATTTGTCCGCAAAAAATGAAAATTAGTCCGCAAAATTGCGCGATTTATCCGCCAAATGGTGATCTACTAAAAAGTGAAGTAAGTGGTTTTTTAATTTTTTGCAACGATTTTTTTTTTAGTTTGCTGTAAAAATATTTGTCCGCAAAAAATCAAAATTAGTCCGCAAAATTGCGCGATTTATCCGCCAAATGGTGATCTACTAAAAAGTGAAGTAAGTGGTTTTTTAATTTTTTGCAACGATTTTTTTTTTAGTTTGCTGTAAAAATATTTGTCCGCAAAAAATGAAAATTAGTCCGCAAAATTGCGCGATTTATCCGCAAAATGATGGCATAATAAAAATTAGAGAAAGTTAATTTTTTAATTTTTTGAACCATTTCACCAGCATGTCAACAGTTTTTTTAGTTTTACTAAAAAACTATTTGTCCGCAAAAATTGAAAATTAGTCCGCAAAATTGCGCGATTTATCCGCAAAATTGTGGTATACTAAAAAGTGGAGTAAGTGGTTTTTTAAATTTTTGCAACTGATTTTTTTAGTTTGCTAAAAAACTATTTGTCCGCAAAAATTGAAAATTAGTCCGCAAAATTGCGCGATTTATCCGCAAAATGATGGCATAATAAAAATTAGAGAAAGTTAATTTTTTAATTTTTTGAACCATTTCACCAGCATGTCAACAGTTTTTTTAGTTTTACTAAAAAACTATTTGTCCGCAAAAATTGAAAATTAGTCCGCAAAATTGCGCGATTTATCCGCAAAATTGTGGTATACTAAAAAGTGGAGTAAGTGGTTTTTTTAATTTTTGCAACGTTTTTTTTAGTTTGCTAAAAAACTATTTGTCCGCAAAAATTGAAAATTAGTCCGCAAAATTGCGCGATTTATCCGCAAAATGATGGCATAATAAAAATTAGAGAAAGTTAATTTTTTAATTTTTTGAACCATTTCACCAGCATGTCAACAGTTTTTTTAGTTTTACTAAAAAACTATTTGTCCGCAAAATTTGAAAATTAGTCCGCAAAATTACGCAAATTATCCGCAAAATAACGTATGTATCAAAATCGGAAAAATCGAAAATGTACATGCTGTTGAAATGCAGCTTCGTAATGGATGTGCTAAATTATATTGTATATGAAAAATAGTTATATTACTTAGGTAGTTAGGCGGTATATCTTATGATATAATTGTTATTATAAATAAAAAATGTTAAATATTTTTTAGACTATTGGTTACGGTATGAACTACTTATGAGAAAAATGTTTAATTAATATTCAACCCATAGCTATACAATATGGACCATTTTTCAATTTAGAAACAACAATATAATATACAATTTTTTTTTTGATTTTGTCAAATATTTAACTTAACGTTAATCTTTGATATGAAATCGATTTGTATAAAAAAAAAAAAAAAAGGCTACATATTATATATTATACTTATCAGTTATCATAAATGGTTTGCAATAAAAAGCGGTCAAAACCGATTTAAGAAAAATATTATAATGTTTTAAAGTTATTTTTATTATTATTATATTTAAATCGAACTCGCATTCAAGCGTACATACTTTATCCAATACAGAGGAGACGTCGTTTGCGTTTACACTTCCTTTCATAAATTATTAATTTTTATGTATATTAGTATTCAATACTCAAAGATAAAAAATATATTGGATGAATAAATTAGTAGGTTAGGCTATATATATGTATTATTAAAAAAACAGAACACATATTTTTAAATACCTAATTGTTTTCTTGAATAAGTAGGTATGTACATAACAAGGACCGATATTTACATTATCTTAATAAATAATATACATTATAGCATGTGTACATATTTTAAAATAAATAAGTAGGTACCTATTTAAATTTGATATGTTAATGCCTCTCTTAAATTCAAAGATGTGTTTTTAAAATGCACTTTCATGCTATTTGAAAAATGAAAATAGCTTTTATATTTAGCATTATAAATATATCGGTAAGTATTTAATTTATATATTATTAAATAATCTGAATTTAAAACTGAAAAATGTAATATTCATTAATATAAAATTATATATCCGCTATTTCAAAGTCTTTAAACCCACCTTGATTATTATCAAAACTGAAATTGTTACCTAAGTACCAAACTATAATATGATTACAGGTTGGAGAAAATGTTGATAAAAATGCACGCAATCCCAGGTACGTATTAGACACCAAGGTTCACAAGGAATTTGACGCGAGAAAACGCTGGCCCAAATGCAAAACAATTGGTGAAGTACTCAATGATGGAAACAACCTCTATTCTTGGGTAAACATACCAATTTATTTGACGTGATCACTGTATTAAAATTGAAAACAACGCATTTTTTAAATAATATATAATAATCCTATTGATAATTGTCTGGAAACAGGCTTATGCCAACGCCGCGATATTCTCAGACAGAAAGTGCATAGCAACTAACGGAGTTTTCAATCAATTCCTATCCACCGAAGAGCTAATTTCCTGCAGTGGTATAAAGGCTATCGAAAACGGGATAAGTAAAGGTGGCGTTGATCAACTTCGTGTCTGGGAATATTTCAAAAGTCACGGCTTGGTCTCCGGCGGGAAATACAACACTGACGATGTAATTTGAAAAATCGATTAGGTATCTTATATAATATAATAATGTTTATTATCATTGCATTACATAGGGATGTCAACCTTCCAAAATTCTACCAATTGGTAACTTACCGACAACATTATACAAACCTGAATGTAAAAATCGCTGTTACGGTAATAAGACGATCGATTACAACCATGATCACTCGAAAGGTAAGTCATAAGTCAAGTATAGCCAATGATAATGGCATAGGTACTGGCGAGTTAGACATTTCTTAATATTGTTTTATTACCTACCCGATTCTAACAATTTCATTTTATGATTTCAGTTAGCCATAAATATAAAATATCGTACGAAGATATTCAAAAGGAAGTGCAAAATTACGGTCCAGTTTCGGTACAATTCTTTCTTTACTATGATTTTTATCTTTACAGAAATGGTTAGTTTATAAATACGATAAATCTTATTATATTTTATGCTATAAATATTACTTAATTCAAAGTATTGTACGGCTTTGTTGTCTGCTACAGGTGTTTACTCAAAAACTGAAAATTCGAAATTCGTGAGATGGCAATATGCCAAGTTAATTGGATGGGGAGTCGAAAATGGTGTAGACTATTGGTTGTTGGTCAACTCTTGGGGAAAAGAATGGGGACAGAATGGATTGTTTAAAATCAAAAGGGGCACAAATGAATGTTCCATCGAAACTGCTATTTATGCAGGTGAACCTGAAAGAAAATAACATTATGTTCTCATAAATTAATAATATATGTCATTTTAAACAATATCCAAATACTTACAAACAAATTATTCTATTGTATTTAATAAATAATCTTTTATTCAACGTTTACTGTTATTTTAACAATAATAAAACTGTATTGTTACGATTTTTGTATACGCATTGCAAGGGCTTGGCGTATATAACAGATATATTTCGGTTTCCGTTTCCCAAACCGTCAAACAAATAAATATTATCGATACCTGCAGCTTATTTAAATTCTCCTGTTTGTGGCCACTATAACGAGTACTGCACAAAAGGATAATTAAACAGGGTCTAATATGATTTACACTATACAACTCTAAAGTTAGCTTACTCTCGAACAACTGACCACGATAACAAGTACTGGATGTTCGAGGGTGAGATATCTTTAACCTAGACAAAGTCTTACTCTTTCTCGACTGACCACGATAACAAATACTGCACGAGAAAGTAAGTACTACTATGACTTTTTAGTGCAATTTGATGACTGTCTAAGGTATAATACGACACATTGAAAATGTAATACAAGGTTTCTCATGAGTTGTTGCTAATGGAAATTAAAAAGTCGAGCGTGAATCTAAAATATTTTTTTTATGAGCATCAAAATCAAGATTTGCAAATTATTTTGTGTTAGAAATACATACAATCTATTTATATAATATACGATTTTTTTTTTTTTATTTTTTTTTTTAACAAGATATATACAATCTGTACCCTTAGGCACAATAAGAATATGTGATAAAATATTTTGTACATGAAAACGTGAGGGAAGAAGCCAACCAGTGAAGGCACTACCTATAATGTTTATTTATATATATATATATATATTTTTTTTTTAAATTATTTGGATTATTCATTTAGTAAATCACGACACCAATTTCTTTTTAGTCGTCGAGTGGGGTTACCTGGAATTGTGCAAGAAGCTAAATTGGATATAAGGGGATTAGGATGGTATGGAAGTCTGTTATGGAATCTTTTGTAATATGTTATTGCTTCAGCGTGAACTGTTTTTATGTTTAGATCTGTGTGCAGAGAGTAGTTGGAGACATATGGTGGGGCATTAGTGATTAATCTTAAAATTTTATTTTGAACGGTTTGGATTTTATTTACATTAGTTATTTTTGCACTGCCCCATAGTTGTAGGCCATAAGTCCACATGGGCTTGATTAATGATTTATATATAAGAAGTTTGGTGTTTAGTTTAGTGTGCTTGTTAGATATTAGTGGTTTAACTGAGCGTAGTCGTTCGTTTAGGGCGAGTTTTTTAGTTTTGATATGAGGTCCCCAGGTCAGGCGACGGTCAAAGGTTAGGCCTAAGTACTTAACCGATTGGGATGATGGGATTGGTATGTTGTTAAGAAAGACTCCTGGGCAGGGAGGGAGACGAAGAGTGAATGTAGTATGAATGGATTTAGATTGGTTGACTTGTACTCGCCATTTATCATACCAGACAGACATTAGGTCAAGGTGGTTTTGAAGGTTTAAAGAAGCAATGTGAGGGTCTTCATGTACTGATATAATTGCCTTATCATCAGCAAATTCAGCTACAGATGTTGTTGGAGAGGTAGGTTGGTCTGCTGCATATACATTGTATAGTATAGGTGAAAGAATGCCACCTTGAGGGACTCCTGCGCTAATTTTTTCAATATTTGAAAAGGAAGAGCCAAATTTGACTTGGAAGTGGCGATCCGTGAGGTAAGATTTAATGAGTAAGAAATATGTTGTGGGAAGAAAAGCTTTTAGCTTAAATAGTAGCCCTTCATGCCAAACCCTGTCAAAGGCTTGTGAGACATCAAGGAACACGCACGAGCAGTATTTTTTCTTTTCGAGAGAGAACGAAATGGCGTCGACTAGTCTATGCAATTGATGAGTTGTGGCATGAGAGGCACGAAAGCCAAATTGCGTGTTCGGAATTATGTTGTTTGAAAAAATGTATGGCAAAATTCTTTTAAGAATAAGCCTTTCAAAAATTTTTGCGAAAAAGGGCAAAAGACTTATAGGTCGATATGAAGAGAGAATATCAGGTGGTTTTTTTGGTTTTGGAAATACAATTATTATTGAAAATTTCCAAAGTTGCGGGAAGTAAGCTAATCTTAGGGAGGCATTTATCAGGACCGTTAGCAGGACAATTGCTCTTTTTGGGAGGCATTTGGCAACTTCCGCAGTTATTAGATCATAACCAGGGGATTTCTTAAGGCTGTAGTTTTGAATTGCATTTTTAATATCGTTGGGAGTAAAACATTTTGATGGAAGAGTAGGTGGAAGTGGGCTGTCAAGAAATCTGTTAACTAAAGCTGTGTGATTGTGAATTTGTATATCAGAATGTGGCGTGAAAATTTTTGCTAGGTGATTTTTTAACAATTCAGCTTTATCAGCGTCTGTAGAAGCTAATCCACCGGACGGGTTTATTAGCGGAGTATTCGGAGCTTGATGTTGCAGGGCCTTTTTTGTGGCTAGCCAAAGGCTACCGTCTTTCGATGACAAATTTGCAAGGAAGTTGGCTTGTGCTTGATTTTTGTGACTAGAAAGAATTTTTTTTAGAGAGTTTGCCAGGTTGTTGAAATTACGCTTGAGGGATGGGAGGCGATATCGTTGATATAGGGCCCTTGCTCTGCGTTTGTTAGCTATTAATATGCGAATATATTCAGGGATCGAAGGGGAATGGTTAGAGTGCTGCCTGTGTGAAGTGCTAGCATCCCATGCTGCAGTTTGAATAACATTCGTGAAATTATTAATGGCATCATAAATTTCTTGGGTGGTTTTAAGACTAATTTTAAGGTTAATGTTTCGATCAACCAAGTCATGGAATTTTTGCTTATCAGTGGTGGAGTCGAAAAGCTTTGGTGGACAGGAACGAATTGGAGGAGCAGCACTAACAGTTAAAAGGACGGCGGAATGGTCCGAACTAGGTTCAAGCAGTTTACTAGTCGTATAGTAAATGTTGCTCGGAGTGTTGGAAACAAAAATGTCAAGTATATCGGGTTTTTTGCGAAGTGAGGTTGGCCAATAGGTTGGTCCAGGGGGAGCAAGAGCTTTGTAGCCTTTCTGAGTTATGAAATTGTGAAGTACATTACCTCTAGGGTTGTTTGTGCGGCAGCCCCAACTGCGATGTTTGGCATTATAGTCACCGCCTATAGTGTGCTAAAGTAATCAGCGTAATTTTGAAAGTTCATATTATGTCGTGGTGGAGAATATATTGCAGATATTGTGGTCGGTACGTTGTTGAGGTACATTAATATGGCACAAGACTGTAAATTTGGTTGACAGAAGTTAGGAAGGGCTTGGTATACCAGGGAGGTTTTAATATAAATTGCAGCACCTCCATGCGCAGTATTATCTGGGTGGTTGGTTTTCAGTAGATTATACCCAGCTATGGGAATATGGGAATATTTTGTGAAGTGCGTTTCAGATATTAGAGCAACATCAATACGTTTTTCTTGTAGTACTACCTGTAGTTCATTTTGGTGATTTTTTAGTCCGTTAGCATTAAATAGGAGAATTAGAAGTGAGTTACTTGTAGGAGATGACATGTTTTTAATCTAGAAGTTTTGTGATTACTTTGGTTAGTAGGGCGATTAGAGGATTAATTAATTGTTTAAACTCGTCAATGAAGGTTGACATTATTTTGTTTATGTCTGGAGCAGGTGAAGGTACCGTATGATTGGAATGAGAATTGGAAGTAGCTTGGGCGTAGGTAGGAGTCGACTCTGAAGGGTGTATTGTGGAGGCTTTCACTGTGTGGGTATCTTGTACATAGGTATTTTTATAGCTAAAATTATTAGATAAGTGATTACTTGATTTTGGATTTTTTCTTCGTTGTAGATCTTTATAGATGGTACAGCCTTTGTAGTTAGATGGATGATCGCCAGAGCAGAGAGCGCACTTGGGTGGGGCATCACGGGTGTTCGGACAGTCAGCTGATAAATGATGACCACCGCAGCGAACACAACGAGCTGGATAGCCACAATACGATTTTGTATGTCCGTATACTTGGCAATATACGATTTGAAAATTTAATACTGGATTCTTCATAAGTGTTCATACCTTCTATAAATGTCAATACAATGTCGATATGATCGTTTATGGTGAGGGAAAAAACTTGATAATTGTATACAAAATTCGTCATGAATGTTATAATAACAGTTTAAATATATTAAAGATATGAATTCACGTTTCCACTCAGTAGTGTTTCTCGTATACAGTTTTATTATATCAATATAGAATTCAAATATTGAATACCATCCGTTACCATAAGTGTGAGCAGATTTCAATATCCAGTCGAGCCTGGAACAATTACAGTGCCCCTATTTTTTTTCTTAATACATCAGCATACATTCTAATTGTAAATTAATAACTGTACGAACAGCATAAGCTTCTAATATTTTCTAACTACCAACAATATATATTTAGAAAAAATAAGTAAATCAAATATGAAAATATTATATAGTTAAAATTGTTATTTAACTTCGAAAGTGGTTCTTTATCAACAATACACTCAAAAAATGCATGGGAAACAATTGGTTACCGAAAGTATTCCATTAAGTTTGGTAAATGTTTATTCCGATTTTCTCTATCATACTTGATCCAGGTTAGGTTAGGTTAGAGACTTACACACATATTAATAATTAGATAATATTTTTTAGTATCGGTAAAACCGTTTCGGAGGAGTTCAATAACAAACACTGTGGCACGACATTTGTATATATTAGATATACATATCTACTTGATATGCTGTCACACAATGTCCGCAATCCGACGTAGGTTTTGCCTACAAGGGTGGCTGAATTGCACTTACTGATGCGAGTTACATCCAAAAGGATTTGAAGAATCACCATTTTTTAGAGGGTTGTCTTTTTTTAAGGACAATGAAGTTCACAGGGTCAGCTAGTTAATAAATAAAAATATATTAAGATATTATTATTATGCTCATGGGGCAAAGGGTTATTTCATGACCAAGTTCTCGACAAGGCACGGCTGCTTTC